AGCAAGAGCCTTTCATCCCCGCGGCTGGGCGCCGAGTCCCCGCGGCTCCAAGCTGGAAGGGAGCGTGCCGGGCGGGCCGAGGGGCACCGTGGCGGAAGGGCGACGCCTCCTGAGCCGCTGGGCGCGGGGCCCGGTCGGTGGGGTCGTGACCGCGGGACCGCGGGCCCCGGCCCCAGGCCGGTCCAGCCCAGCCGTCCTCACCCCCTCGCCTGCCGACTCCTGGGGGCGGGGCCCGCGCGGCGTCCGGCCTGCGGAGGTCACGTGGGCCACGCCGGCCAATCGGCGCGCGCCTTGGGGCCGACCCGGGTCGCAGGGCGGTGGCGGAGCAGTTAGCGGCAGCGGAGCTAGCGCGCCGGGGGGACGGAGGTGCGGCCGGGGTCGCTGGGCCCGGGGACGGGGGGCGGGGATGGAGAGGCACCGCCCGGCGGCCCCGCGTCCGGCCCGCTCACCCCCCACGGCGCCCGATCTCCCCTGTCCCCGCAGGACTGGCCATGGAGCGCGAGGTGCAGCGGGTTCGCGCGGCGTTCGGGTCCGGCCGCTCGCGCCCCCTGACGTTCCGGCGGCGGCAGCTCGAGGCCCTGCGCGCGATGGTGCAGGAGCGCGAGAGGGACATCCTGTCGGCCATCGCCGCCGACCTGAGCAAGGTGCGCCCCCGGGACCTGCGCTCCACGCCCTGCCCCTTTTCCGCGGGCAGCTGTGGCCCTTTCCCTTCCCCTTCCCCTGGATTTGGGTCATTCGTCCGCTTCGTGTATTGCAGGCCTCTTCCCCCGAGTCGGGTTCTTGTCTTTTAACTTTGCAGTTTCTTATGCAGACACAGGGTTTTGCTTGTCGTCGTTGCGCTCAGATTTCCCTCGATGATGTTAGGTGTCAGATCTGTGCACCCGCGAGTCACCCGGAGACCTTGTTACGATGCAAACGATGCTTCACTGGGTCTGGGGGGAGGGGGTCTGAGAGCCCGAGTTTTTGTAAGAAACTCCCAGGTGATGTACCAAGGTGCCCTGTTTTGGAACCACGCTTTGAGTAGCAAGGCCTTGGGGGAGTGTTTCGGGTTTAAAAATGGTCCCCTATGTTTTATAACACTGTTGTTACCATTTTGTTTTTAATTTTTCTCTTCATTTTAGGGGTAACAAGGCCTTCCTCTGGCTTTGCTAGGCTCCTTCAGCCCCTCCCCCTGAAGATTATTTTGAGGGGTAGTAACATCAGTAGTCAACAGGAACTCTAAAACTTCCTGTATAGCACTTTTGGTGGAGAGGAACTGTGATGTCAAATAGTCAAGGTGGATTTAAGTAAGATGCCCAAAAAAGTCTGATTCATTCACCTACAAGCGTTTCTGAGGGTGTATATATAGGATTACTAAAGAGGTACAATCAATTCCTTGCCCTTGAGGGCTTTAAGTTTGGTTGGGAAACAGAACAGGCACAGATAAAGTGGGGCTATAGTTTTAAGCCAGTGTATTAAGGCTGAAATGTTAAGATATAGGGGAAAGCATAATGACTATGGCTTATAAAGTGTGATCAAGGCACACCATTATTAATTAGGGAAGTTTTCGTGAAAGAGTTAACGTTTAAGCCTGACTTTAAATGGCTTGGATCAGTAAAGAAGGATTTAAAGGGATCGTATATATTAAGAAGGGAATTAGCAAGTCCTTACTGTGGGCTTGGAGGACACACAGGAATCTGCATGGCAAACCAGCTAGTCTGACATGTTTGCCTTTTTTTTTTTGCATTGCCGTAGGGCTTAGTTCCCCGACCAGGGATCAAACCTGTGTCCCCTGCAGTGGAAGCACAGAACCCTAACTACTGGACCGGGGAGCGTGCCGGGCGGGCCGAGGGGCACCGTGGCGGAAGGGCGACGCCTCCTGAGCCGCTGGGCGCGGGGCCCGGTCGGTGGGGTCGTGACCGCGGGACCGCGGGCCCCGGCCCCAGGCCGGTCCAGCCCAGCCGTCCTCACCCCCTCGCCTGCCGACTCCTGGGGGCGGGGCCCGCGCGGCGTCCGGCCTGCGGAGGTCACGTGGGCCACGCCGGCCAATCGGCGCGCGCCTTGGGGCCGACCCGGGTCGCAGGGCGGTGGCGGAGCAGTTAGCGGCAGCGGAGCTAGCGCGCCGGGGGGACGGAGGTGCGGCCGGGGTCGCTGGGCCCGGGGACGGGGGGCGGGGATGGAGAGGCACCGCCCGGCGGCCCCGCGTCCGGCCCGCTCACCCCCCACGGCGCCCGATCTCCCCTGTCCCCGCAGGACTGGCCATGGAGCGCGAGGTGCAGCGGGTTCGCGCGGCGTTCGGGTCCGGCCGCTCGCGCCCCCTGACGTTCCGGCGGCGGCAGCTCGAGGCCCTGCGCGCGATGGTGCAGGAGCGCGAGAGGGACATCCTGTCGGCCATCGCCGCCGACCTGAGCAAGGTGCGCCCCCGGGACCTGCGCTCCACGCCCTGCCCCTTTTCCGCGGGCAGCTGTGGCCCTTTCCCTTCCCCTTCCCCTGGATTTGGGTCATTCGTCCGCTTCGTGTATTGCAGGCCTCTTCCCCCGAGTCGGGTTCTTGTCTTTTAACTTTGCAGTTTCTTATGCAGACACAGGGTTTTGCTTGTCGTCGTTGCGCTCAGATTTCCCTCGATGATGTTAGGTGTCAGATCTGTGCACCCGCGAGTCACCCGGAGACCTTGTTACGATGCAAACGATGCTTCACTGGGTCTGGGGGGAGGGGGTCTGAGAGCCCGAGTTTTTGTAAGAAACTCCCAGGTGATGTACCAAGGTGCCCTGTTTTGGAACCACGCTTTGAGTAGCAAGGCCTTGGGGGAGTGTTTCGGGTTTAAAAATGGTCCCCTATGTTTTATAACACTGTTGTTACCATTTTGTTTTTAATTTTTCTCTTCATTTTAGGGGTAACAAGGCCTTCCTCTGGCTTTGCTAGGCTCCTTCAGCCCCTCCCCCTGAAGATTATTTTGAGGGGTAGTAACATCAGTAGTCAACAGGAACTCTAAAACTTCCTGTATAGCACTTTTGGTGGAGAGGAACTGTGATGTCAAATAGTCAAGGTGGATTTAAGTAAGATGCCCAAAAAAGTCTGATTCATTCACCTACAAGCGTTTCTGAGGGTGTATATATAGGATTACTAAAGAGGTACAATCAATTCCTTGCCCTTGAGGGCTTTAAGTTTGGTTGGGAAACAGAACAGGCACAGATAAAGTGGGGCTATAGTTTTAAGCCAGTGTATTAAGGCTGAAATGTTAAGATATAGGGGAAAGCATAATGACTATGGCTTATAAAGTGTGATCAAGGCACACCATTATTAATTAGGGAAGTTTTCGTGAAAGAGTTAACGTTTAAGCCTGACTTTAAATGGCTTGGATCAGTAAAGAAGGATTTAAAGGGATCGTATATATTAAGAAGGGAATTAGCAAGTCCTTACTGTGGGCTTGGAGGACACACAGGAATCTGCATGGCAAACCAGCTAGTCTGACATGTTTGCCTTTTTTTTTTTGCATTGCCGTAGGGCTTAGTTCCCCGACCAGGGATCAAACCTGTGTCCCCTGCAGTGGAAGCACAGAACCCTAACTACTGGACCGTCAGGGAATTCCCTGGCCCGATGCTTCTGACATTCAGGGCCAAGTGTGTCATACCCACAAAGGTTAACTGTGACCTTCTTGTAACAGAGTGAATTCAACGCATACAGTCAAGAAGTCATCACTGTGCTTGGGGAAATTGATCTCGCGCTGGAGAAGCTTCATGAATGGGCTGCTGCTAAACCAGCTCAGAAGAACCTGCTCACCATGCTGGACGAGGCCTACGTCCAGCCAGAGCCCCTGGGAGTCGTGCTGATTATCGGAGCTTGGAACTACCCCTTTGTCCTCACCATCCAGCCTCTGATAGGAGCCATCGCTGCAGGTCTGGTGTCAGCTTCCGTCCTTACGCTGTCTTCAAGAGGCGTATTCTCTGCTGGTTGTACATTAAGGATAGTGGTTAGTTAAATGCATTTGCTGTCGTGGCTCGCCTTGGTTTACACCAGCAGTGTATTGAGAATTCATAAACGTTATTATTACCTGTTCAGTGGGCTCCAGAGATCTGTGGGGTGACTGCTTTTTGGGGCCCTGGAGAATGGACCTGCAAGGGTGTAGAGACACGCACGAGTCCACAGGCCCAGGTTTGGAGTCACACGTCCATAGCGTCATGTGGTTTCAGTTGCCACCTCTGGCTTTGGATGAACCAGTTGATTCTGTCTGACCCCTTTCTTCATTCAAATAAGGGCTCTGGGAGGAATGCTTGCTTGGGTCTACAGCAAATGCCAAGGGATTCATTTCTCAGTTAACCAGGATCCAGACCAACAGCTTTATGTTGGCAAAGCTTGTTTGTGCGATAATCCCAGGGCAAGAGGAAAATCCAAGGATGGGAGTGAGAACAGTGAGAGAAGGCCAGAGGCCTAGGGGAGCCTGGCTGGGGCCTCCCGTCAAGGGCCTACATGGTGAGCACTGAGGAGTTAGCCTTTGGGAAAGAGGCAGTGGGGCAAGCACTCACGCCTGTGGTGAGGAAGACAGAACGCAGAGCCAGAAATAACCAGAGGAATTAACCCTTAGCCTGTGCTCCCCACAGGAGCACCGTCTCGTGGATGTTAGAATCGCTCAAGTACTAGACATTGTCCTGCTTTTTGCTTTGTTTAGGAAATGCTGTGATTATCAAGCCTTCTGAAGTAAGTGAAAATACAGCCAAGGTCTTGGCTACGCTCCTCCCTCAGTACTTAGACCAGGTAAGAGGGCCTTGCCCCCTCTCTGGCACGTCTGTCTGTCTGGCTGGCACATCTGTCTGTCATGGGGAACACACTCTGCTCTTCATGCTGGCTTGCGTCATTGGTGGTCAGGCCTCCACACTCATTTTCCCTCAGCCTCCCACGTCTGGCTTAACAAGAGAAGTTCAGTTCCAGAAAAACTGGAATAGTTCAGCTATTGTAGTACACAGTTTGGTCAGGCCCATGGCTTTATCGGAACCCCTGCTATTAACAAAGCCTCCGCTGCCATTTGGCGTTTCAAATTAACCTTTGATCTGACGTGATTTTAGGTGTGTCCTTTTAGTGAGTTATTTAATGAGGGGCTGGTACCGTGCTGGGCGCTCTTCACGAGGTACAGTTACATGAGCACACGTCTGCATTTAAACGGGCATGTTTGTGGCCCGAAAACTACAGAAAGAAAAAGGTCTCCTGACCCAGAGTGTGGACCCTCACTCAGAGTTACAGTGCTGGCATTTAAGAGTATCGGAAGCTGGGACTTCCCTGGTGGTCCAGTGGTTAAGACTTCGCCTTCCAATGCAGGGGGTGCGGGTCCGACCCCTGGTCGGGGAGCTGGGATCCCGCGTGCCTTGCGGTCAAAAAACCAAAACAAAAAACAGAAGCAGTATTATAACAAATTCAATACAGACTTTGTAAATGGTCCACATCAAAAAAAAAAAAAGTCTTTAAAAAAAAGAGTGTCGGAAGCGGTGGAGAAAAGACGATCTCCGAAGCAGAGGTCTGGTGCCCCCCGTGGAGGAGACAGTGGCGCCACGTGAACTGGGGCCGCGAGCTCTGCATGGAGGAGGCCTCGGTGCGCGCCAGGGAGACGCAGCTGTGCGGCATCACACCTGTAGTCGGCCACATTTTCTGACAGCGGTCTACAGGCCAACTCCAGCTCTTGGAGGAGCCGCGCTCCCCGTGCTGGCTCATCCCTGCCACGGCGGCCAGGGAGCAGTGTTGTCCCAGGGCCTGGGGTACCCGGTGCAGAAGGGCGGTGAAGGCAGTGAGGTAGGGCAGATGCTTCACTGGCTCACTCTGCCCGGATGGGGGTCGTCATTGCGGCCCTGCCTCCCTCGGCTTGTTGGGGATCAACCACACAGGTTCTGTGGATTCAGGCGGAGGCAAGCTAAGGCTTGAAACACCTGTCGGGCCGTTGAGCTGTGAGTAGAGATGGAGGGGAAACGCGAGGACCACCAGCCGGCTCGTACTTGGTGTCCCGCCGCTGCTCTTCACACCGTGACTATCCTCTCTCGTGCGATAGCTGCAGACGGTCGCACGGTGCACATGAGGGTTCAGTGCAAAGCGCTGTGACGTCCCCGCATCACAGGAGGAGGCTGAGGCTCAGAGGCATCGGGCGGCCGCCAGCAGGCACGTGAGCTAGAGGATGACGGGGCGCAGGTGCAGCCCGGACCTGCCCCTGGAAGCGCTCCCCTGCCGGCCTTGGCACACGTTCGGGCAGCAGTTTACTCGGTTCCCCCCATGGCCTGAGCCCCACGCTGAGCCATATGCAGAGAGGACGTCCGGGTGGACGCGCCTGGGGCCTGTCCTGTGGTCACCGACAGCGGCCATGTTCCCACAACCCTCCCCTCGCCCAGCCCCCGTCTTGTGGTTTCCCGGGGCCAGTCTTTACCTTTTCCTGGTTTCACTGAATGTTACATGTTTACGTCAGACAATAGGATTCCTTTGGTGATGCGAGTGTTTGTCTTTCTTTAAGGACCTGTACGCGGTTGTTAATGGTGGCATCGAGGAAACCACGGAGCTTCTGAAGCAGCGATTTGACCACATTCTCTATACGGGAAACACCACTGTTGGAAAAATTGTCATGGAAGCCGCTGCCAAGCATCTGACCCCCGTGACCCTTGAACTGGGAGGGAAGAGTCCTTGTTACGTTGACAAAGACTGTGACCTGGATGTCGCCTGCAGGTGAGACCGGTTATCTGGACTCCCCCAGCAGGCTCGCCTGCCCTGTACCTCCTCACTGGGCATTGCCATTGATGTCCTCACAGGGACCAGAACTCTTTCACAAACCATGCCACAGCCGGAGGAGATGAACACGAGGTTGTGACATCACACGGTTGCCCTCAGGATGAGGAAAAGCTATTTCTGTTCTCTAGATAATAGACCTGACAAGAAGTTTTACTGTTCTACTGATAGCTGATCCAGAAAGTAGATAATGCCAAGGATCCTGTGTGCCTAATAAACTCTTTAAATTTCCAAAGAAAGGGCATTATGCTGATCTCTTAACTGAGTTCCTTTATTGATAAAACCAATAATTCTCATCTTTTAACTGAGAATAATAGCATCTTGCATCTGAGAACTAGAAGATGCAAGGTTTCGGGATGTCTTCGCTAAATCAGTTCAGCTAACAGGAAGTGCCCAAACCCACAGCTGACTGTGCTGGCATGGCGTGGCTCTCCCTCTCTTCAGACAAGGGGAGCGGGGGGCGTTGGCCGGGCTCCGGGTTGGCTCTGTAAGTAGACGTCTACTTGCTGGAACAGGGGACCCCGGTTCGTGGGTTTCTGTCTGAGTCCGGGCACAGCGTCCCAGATCGGGGAGGGCTTCTGGTCCTGCTTGTACCTGGCATCTTGCAGCAGGACCAAGCCACAGCGGGAGCCGTGCTGTCTGTGGAACCCCTGTCCTCCCAGATGTCCTCTTGGCCGGGGTGGGAAGAGGGTGTCAGGAGGCTGTTTTTTCTCTTTTCCTGCCGCAGGCAGTGGCTTCCCTGCGTATAAAGTAATGTTTCTCATGAACTGGCAGGAGGCTTCCCCTGCTTTGTAGAATAGTCTACGCCAATTGAAAATGCGTCCTCAGTTCCAACCAACTGATTTAGAGATGAGTTTTCAAAACATTTTTTTTATCAAGATTACCAAATACGTTTATGTACTAGTAATCTTGACAGCTAGCTGAAAAACATTCAGACAGCGCCGAAGTGCGTGACAGGTGCGTGGGAACTGAACTCTGGCTGCTCGTGCTTTTCCCAGACGCATCGCCTGGGGCAAGTACATGAACTGCGGCCAGACCTGCATCGCCCCCGATTATGTGCTCTGCGAGCCGTCCCTCCAGGACCTGATCGTGCGGAAGGTGAAGGAGGCCGTGAAGGTTCGTTTTTCCCACCTCTGGGTCCACTGGTCTCACTGGGATACAGAGTGAAATCAGATGTTTGCAGGGGGCATCGCCCCACCCCCTCCCGGGAACATTCCAGGAGCACGTGACTGAACTAATTTCCTGGCTGATGCAAAGCGCTCTCGTAGAACGTGGTAGCAGGGTGAGATTGGTGTTATACACGCTGACACTGTCTAGTTGATTTGTTAATGGCACAACTGGTTAGGTGTAGAACGGGCCTTAAAAAAAAAAGCTCAGTAGCTATTGTGTGGTCTGGGGAGAACGTCGCGTGGCCTCTGCGGTGTGGCCAAGGCCCTTACCGCGGCTGCAGCGATCAAGGTTATCGGTGCTCGGCTGTGCCGGCGGTTTAGAGAAGCCAGCAGTTTTGAGGAACGTGCACTCTTGACGTGGCCATCAGTCTTTGAGGGCATTTCAAATGGCCATCTCTAGAGAGGGGACCAAGGAAGGCTACACGGTGGTGTCCTGAGCTGAGCCAGAAGGAACGTAGGACTGGGACTGGAAGAAAGGAAGGGATGAAGCTGTGATAGTTCAGCGGTGGGAGCCCCCTGGGTGGAGAAATTATTGAAACAACCGTTGCTCACTCGCCGGGTACTGACCGAGCCCTGAAAGGAAGGCTCCGGAACACCCAGGAGTGACGTAGGTGAGCAGCAAGGTGACGTGGAAGTTGGACGTTAGTGGCGGGACTGCGATGGGGCCGGACAAGGAGAGCGTGAAAGGGGAGCTTGGCCCGGCTCTCGGAAGACACTGGGGCTGCTGGGGACGTGCTCGGGTGAGTGTGGTGAGGAACTGGGTTTCCATGAGGCGTGTGTTCTCTCGTCGCCGTGGCTCTCCACTGGGGGTCACTGGGAGCCGTTTTAGAAAAGCCCCCAGTCCCCCCCTCCAAAGACGGTGGTCCAGCAGGGCTGGGGTCTCCAGGTGATGATGAGGTGCGTCCAGCACTGAAAACCACTCCTGTGGCTCTGGTGTTGGGGCCCAAGAACACGCATTGCAACACGCTGCCCGGGAGCTTCCTTCCTCCTGGGTTCGAGGCAGGTGCGGGGGGTGGACCGAGCTCAGTGTCGCTGGAGAGTAGATTGAGAGCTCCCGCGGGGCTGACTGCTTGGCTTCTGAGGCTCTCTTACTCTGGCTGATTTACCAAGACTGTGTTTTGATCTTTTGAGTGGTTTCACGGTTATCTGTGACTGGTAGAAGTTCCAGTCCAGAGAAGACCTAACATGAGGAAATCGCACAAAGCTCAGCAAACCCTTTCTGCAAAAGGGGAAAAACACACGCGGTCAGTGTTTTAGGCTTTGCAGGTCACAGGGCCTTTGCCACCACCACCCAGCTCCTCACAGGACAGCAGCCAGAGCTGATAGGCAAGCGCACGTGTGGCCCTGACACGGGGCAAGACCCACCCCCAGGAGGGACCCATGCCAACTCCCGAAACCGTGGAAAATGGGAGACTTGTGTGTGTGCTTTAACTCCTGTCCTTGACCTGCCAAAGAGCTTAGTCTTACTACTGTTAAAGGATTTGGGGGCTGGGGGGTTGGATTCTGTGAGGATACAAAACCAGATTTGGGGCCATGGTGAATTTTATAATTATTAAAGAAATTAAAATATGGGTCTTTGGTGACAACTAGATACTACTGTTTTAAACAGGAATTTTATGGAGAAAATATAAAAGAATCCCCCGACTATGAAAGGATCATCAATCTTCGTCATTTTAAGCGGATACAAAGTTTGCTTGAAGGACAAAAGATAGCTTTTGGCGGGGAGACCGATGAGGCCACACGCTACATAGGTAATGGAGACTCATCTCATCCTGTAGGGAGGGGCAACTTAACAGTTTTTATTGACACTCTTTACCGACACTGAATAAACTATTAGGTGTAGAGTGTTTAATAAGCTATTAAATACTGCTTTCTGGTAAACTGCTTTGTTACAAGCGAGTTAAAGATGATTTTATGTATGTGTATGTTGAGTAACTCTATTTAGTTGTTTGTATTTACACACGTATTTTATCTAACTTTTTCTTCCTGGCAACCTTGAGAAGCAGAACCAGACTCTGTAGTTATTTCCAGCTTATGGCTGGGAAAACAGCCCAGAGAAGGAAATAGCTCAACCACAATTGCACAGCTAGCCGACAGCAGTACTGTTCCAGAAAGAATGTTTTCACCTATCATGCTTGACCTCACTATTTACTTTCTTGTTGTGTTCTTTGTTTTTTTGACACGAGTATGTATCACTTATGAATTTTAAACACACTTATCTAAAATAACACCTAAGATGAGAGAAGAATCACGCATGGGGACTTCCCCGGTGGCGCAGTGGTTAAGAATCCTCCTGCCAATGCAGGGGACACGGGTTCGAGCCCTGTTCCGGGAAGATCCCACATGCCGTGGAGCAACTAAGGCCATGTGCCACAACTACTGAGCCCGCGCGCCCAGAGCCCGTGCTCCCAACAAGAGAAGCCACCGCAGTGAGAAGCCCGCGTGCCGCAACTAGAGAAAGCCCGCGTGCAGCAACAAAGACCCAATGCAGCCAAAAATAAATAAATAAACAAACTTATTTAAAGAAAAAAAAAAAAGATCACACATGAAGTTGGCGAAAAAGCTACTCCTCAAATCTGTTTACCTGTTTCCTCTCATCATCACCAAAAACCCCAACTTTTCAAAAACAGAACTTACGGGACTTAAACAGTACGGAGAAAAGTATGCTCTCGGCCTATTAGTTCAGCGGCTCCGTAACATCCCCAGAGCTGCGGGGGTTCGTCTTTGGGTCCTGCCGGCCCAGCATGTTGACTGCATGCCTGTACGCCCATCAGTGGTGAGAGGGAAGGTCGGCCGTGATTAGCTCAGACTAGTTAGGAGCTTACCCCGACCTGGTCCAGGGTCACCTCACCTAAACGCGTGGCTCTGCAGAGGGGGATGGACACCTCTCTGGCCCAGGGAAGCCGCGTGCGGCGGATCTGAGGCAGCGGCTTCTGTACCCCCGGGCGTGCTGGAGAGAGCCGTCCTGTGCCATGCCTCCAGGAGAACCTGGTCGTAACCGTGGGTGGAGGAGAGAGCACGCTTGTTCCGTCAGGTGTCTTCTGCTGTAGTCGACCCTCCAGCCCGTCCGCAGGGTCTCCCTGAGCGCTGCGGCTTGGGGACTTCTTGGTGTGGACACTGGACACCCCACAAAGCTCTTCAGGATACATGTCGTCCTCCGGTCTGTGTCTTTCCCCAGAGTGGACGGAACGCTGAGATAAGGCTTAGGGAATCCCACCATTTCATTACGTTTTCTGAACCTGACGCAGTTGTAATCAAGCTCAAAGAGATCACAGGCAGGAACGCACTTCTATTAAGAAACTGTACTGGTTTGATCCACCGAGGGGCCCTCTGTGCTCCCAGGAAGGCCTATCCACAGAAAGACGTAGGAATGTGGCGCTGAACAGGGTTAAACATGCATAGGATTTACTCAAGCCTGTATCTCCCCCTGGGTTTGCACAAGGATCCCTGATGCACACGCGTGGAGATGTAATATTTGCACGGTTCACCCACGTACTTGGGACTTGTCTTGGTGGACGACACCTGGGCGGGAGTGGGGAAGGGATGGGTGGGCGGCCCAGTGAGCCAGACGCGAGGTGAGCGTTTTCATTTTTCAGCCCCAACGATACTCACTGATGTGGATCCTGAAACCAAGGTGATGCAAGAGGAAATCTTTGGACCAATTCTTCCAATAGTGCCTGTGAAGAATGAAGAAGCAGCCGTACAATTCATAAATGAACGCGAAAAGCCCCTGGCTTTCTACGTGTTTTCTCATAACACTAAGGTAAACTTCCCAGCATGCGGCTCGCTCTCAGAAGCCATGCTCCTCTGCTGTAAAGCAAATGCTGATTATTTCGTCTGACGCCAGAGTCCCCCAGTCCTGGGTAACGAGGCCCTGGGGTTATGGCTGTGACCCTTCCCTTACTCCCTGGGGTCAGAGCTGAGTCTTCGGGGCGAGTGTCACAAGCCTGGTGACTCACAAACACCTGCCACGTCACTGGGAGACGTCTGAGTGCCTGCATCAGAAGCGCTTCTGCTGTTGATCCGTAGGGCGTCCTGTGGTACAGCCCCGGCTCTTACCCACGCAGTGTCTGCGGCCCGCAGGGCAGTGTCTCTGGCGCTGCTGAGGGAGGTGCTTGGGAAGCCTCGGACTTGGCTTTCTCCAGCCACGGGGCTTTGTGGTTGGAGTGGTGTTGCCGTCCCAGCCGGGCCGGCAGACCACATGCCACCCCAGGCCCAGCAGCCCTGCTGCCGCCCTCCACGCGGCCCGTCCGTATGCACCTCGAGGTGACTGGCTGCTGCTAAGGGACAGTGGCCTCAAGGTGGGCCAGTAGGCCAGGAGCCTCTGAAGAAAGGGGAAAACTCGGAAGGGAGGGTGCAGCCAGGTGAGGTCAAGGAGTTCCCACGGCAGGTGTTTTCTGCAGAGCCTCTGCCGGGGCCACGCAGGGAGTCTCGGGGCAGCTTCTAGAGCTGGCGGTGCTGGCGTGGTACCGATCTCTACAGACCGTCCAGGAAGACCGAATGTGCGGGGCCCAGCTAGGAATGGGTTACTGGCACACAGCGGTCTGACGGTTGAAATGACCACAGGCAGTGGTGGACGGAGTGGAAGCTGCGGTCTGCGGCCCAGGCACGGGGTGGCAGGTCAGGCTCGGTCCCAGGGTCAGCAGTGACCTTTGCTACAGAGGACTTGGTGGGTCAGCAGCCAGGGGAAGTGACATTTACCAGTCCAGTGTCATCGTGCCCATTCAGGTTCTGGGCCAACCAGCGATTCCCTTCAAAAATAGGATGCTACCTCTGAAATCTTGAATGTTTTTTACATTTCCTAGAAACAAAATGATAACCTGTTAATCACATGCCATCCTTTAAAGCAGAGATAGAGAAATATTAACAATTTTTAAAACCTGGAATATAGCCTGAACCATCCCTGGTAAGAAAGGCCCTGGCTGTGGTCCCGGGGGTCCAGCGCTGGGCTGTGCCCAGGCGCGTGGGCCCAACTCTTCAGGTGGTCCGGGTCTCGCTCACTGCTCCCAGCCTCGAGGAGGATGTGGGTCCCAGGCCAGGGGCAACTGACCCAGAGCCTCTGTTCCTTCTCGTCCTCAGCTCATCAAGCGAATGATCGACAGGACGTCCAGCGGGGGCGTCACGGGCAACGACGTCATCATGCACTTCATGCTCAGCTCCCTGCCCTTCGGAGGCGTGGGTGAGGCCCCCTCCCGGTCAACGGCCCTGCAAGCCGCTGCCTGGGGCCCACCTCTGTCCCGCCCCCTGCTCTCCATCCCCAGAGTCTGTAATGACTGTTCTTTATTGCGTTGCTTCACTGGTTTATGGATCTTCTCCCAGATTCAGGGCATTTCTTAGGCCAAAAGTCAGGTCTCAGTTGAACTGATAAATGCCCTCTGTCCTTTATCGAATGAGGCAGCACGTGACGGGCTCACAGCGCCAGGAGCAGACAGCAGCCAAGGGCTTGAACGTCCCTTTGCTTTTGGGGGATAAAGGGGCAAAACCAAACAAAACACTATAGAAAGTTACAAGGGAAAGTGTAGTAACCTCCGAGGCATAAAGTGTTAATATTCTGGCTTGTCGTTTAGATTGTTTTCCTTAAAATGCATGTCTCTTGATACACATCACAGAGTCTCCCTGCAGCTTCAGCTGTCACCTAAGTGATGCCCCAGCGGCCCCAGTAAGCTGCGCGCCGGGTGCCTTGTGCCACATGCTCGTCTGCCCGGCTCACGTGACCGAGCAGAGAAGTGAGCACGGTCCCGGAGCACAGGTCTGAGAGGCCTGTTGCCACACAGCCGCTTGACCCCGCTGTCCTGGCCTTGGTCACCTTCCAGGAGCCTGGGGGAGCAGTGACTCAGGCACGTGCCACGGCGGGAACAGGCACATGCGGCTCTTGGAGTAGACCGCTTGGAGTCCCGCTCGGGCCCTGCCCAGCCCCCTCTCCCTCTCAGGAGGTGGGGCTCTGTTGAGAATGAGCTTGGTCCCTGGCATCAGTGACAGCCAGCACCCCGGGAGCTGCCGGTCCCTGCCCTGCTCTCGGAGAGCGTCCTGTGCGAGGGGCCCGCCGTGCGGGGGGCGCTGGGAGGACGTCCTGGAACGAGCCATGTGCACCGGTGGAGGGGTGCAGCCGGGGCGCCGTGTGCTCGGAAGGAGCACCGTCACCCACAGCGGAGCCCGTCTCGTCTGTTCCTTTATTTCAGGGTCCAGTGGGATGGGAGCGTATCACGGAAAACACAGTTTCGATACTTTTTCGCATCAGCGTCCCTGTTTATTAAAAAGCCTGAAGCGAGAAAGCGCCAACAAACTCCGGTATCCTCCCAATAGCCAGTCGAAGGTGGACTGGGCAAAACTGTTCTTCCTGAAACGGATCAACAGAGGGAAACTCGGGCTTCTGCTGCTCGCCCTCCTGGGCGTCGTGGTGGCGGCGCTCGTGAAGGTGAGTCCCCGGGACTCGGGCGCCCGGCGCCTCCAGGTGCACCTCTTGCATCTCGGGAGCACCTCCCGTCTTTCAAGCAGCTCTCTCCTATTAACTTCCAGAGCCTAAGACCGAGGTCAGGGAGCTTCAGGCTGCTGGGCGCCCCTGCTTTTCCGGGCATCCCTGGCTGCCTCTGTGCTCCGGCGGCAGGGACCGTGCAGCCCACAGGCCTCAGTCCTTACAGGGGGCGTGTGGCGGCCTCGGGTCTGAGTTTAAAGCCCCGTCGAGTGTGCTGCCGAAGTCCGAGCCGCCTCACCCTCTGATCCTCTTGCTGTTGGTGCCTCAGCGTCAGTTTGGTTCCTGGGTGTGCAGGAACCCGGCGTGCGTGGAGGTGGAGGACAGTGTACCGGGGACGGGGCTGGTGGGGAAGCAGCCGTGCTGGGGGAAGCTGGCCTGTAGCGTTTCTCTCTGGTGACTGGCCGTTCCGGGCGTGGACTTGCTAAGAGACCCTCATGACAGCCAGCGTCCAAGGACGGTCCGTATCCTTGGGGCGAAGCCAGATTCAAGCATTTAATGGAACAGCTGTGTTCATATCTGTATTTTGTTTAAATGTTGAAAGGGGGTCGGCTCACCTTACGGTGTCACAGCTTTGGCGGAACTGGACATACCGGTCACATCTGAGATCGTTTGGGTTTCCTCGGAAATCAGGCTGTGCTGAGGAGAAAGGCCCTGTTGATTTTTCTGGCAGCTCACAGATTGTGCCGTCCTGTGAGCCAGGAACGCCAGAACCCAGCCCTGTCTGTCGAGAGGAGGTTGGGCTGTTTCTTTCCTTTCTGTCAAGTGGGCCAGCTTGGGGTGTGTTCTCTTGCAGTCGGTTGTTTTTCTACACTTGGAGGCTTAGGCGTTATCAGAAAAAGAATGTCTCCAGACATTCTGGACCTTGGCCTAGAGCGTCAGAGTGTGAAAACTTAACTTGGCCACAGGTTTTCAAGGGTGAGGTCGGCTTGCTGGACTCTCAAGATTAGAGGTCGTGGCTTAGCTGGGTCTGGGTGAAGCATTCATTACTTCCAGGAAAGGATGGTCTCATGCACTCGGCTGTCCCAGAGGACGTGCCTGCTGACCCACTCATAGTCACCTTCCTTTGTTTCAGAATTTGAGAATAATCTTATAAAAAGCTCCAAGTCACTATTGATTTTGGTTTTGAGTTGTTTCGTTGTTTTTTTTAAAAAACTTCGACTTTAGAATTCATGTAGCAGACTTAGTGAATCGAAACATCTTGTGGGTGTAGAACTTTCTAGGTTTTTTCTTCTGCTTCTTCCTGAGGTCGGAGGTGCGCTTGGGTCTCTGGTCACTATCTGCCTATCTTTTTTCCCCGAGACGTGGGTCCCCAGCCTGACAAGGCATCTTCTTGGTCTGGATGGAGTTTCTTAGCCTCGTGGAAAATTCGGAGGTGCAGGCTGACTGTGCCCCATATTCCCAGGAGGGCTCCCCCAGGTGCAATGCCCTGTGCCCCACAGGCTAGGGCAGGCCAGGTGGCCCGCCCAGAGTTCCCGAAAGGGTTTGGCAGACAAGCCTTTCTCTGGTAGGGTCTAGAGAAGCAGCAGTGTATAAAAACGTTTATTCGGCTGCGAACAAGAAAATATGGCTTTGATCCCGGGCTCTGGGATCGACTTAATTATGGCTTCGGCCAAGGCCTCTTCTGAGCCCACAGAGCGAGGGCACGGGCACCCGGAGGTCCAGGCCGCTTCCAGTCCCACCTCTCTGCTCTCCTTACTGGGATCCCATGTGTTCGTCGTCCCGATTGTTTTGGATTCAGCTGGATTCAGCGTGAGATTGCGTAAAGATTGGGGGTTTTTCTCCTCTTTGCTGCTTCTCTGCTCTTCTCTCTGTGCTTTTACCCGCTTCTTATCAAATCACCTTTTAAACAACTGACTCTGAGCCTAAATTGTCCATTTACTTGAGGAATCTACTGGTGGTAATTGCAAACATTTTTCTGAAATTGCTTTTTGCACTTAGTATTTTGTTATGCGCTTGGATATGATTTTAGTAATTCACTTTACTAGAATTAGAATGGATGTGGAACATTTTAAAATGGGAAACTGAAAGCTGCAAAACTGTCCATCTAAAGGGAACATGTCAGAACCTCAGAGTGGGGGAATTTTCTCTGTGCATTTTACACAAAGTAAAGTTCCACTAAAGCTTAACATAAGCTATGGAAAGCATTTGGGGGGGTTTGTAAAAGTTGAGGAAAATAAAAGGTTCAAATTGAACGATGTCATCGGGCCTTTGAAAATTAAATCCAACGTTTGAACTCTGAGGTTGTGGCCGTGCTTCTTTAAGCCTCAGTGGGTACTGATGAAATTCACTACTGCTCTGGGGGAGGGCATGACCTGTCATCCCCAGCCCGCCCACACTTAAGAGTCCTTAGGGATCTGTGGGCCTTGTTGACATGGTCCTTAGGGCAGACGGTACATGTCAGGGTCCCGATCCCGGGCCCATGTTCCAGGGCTGGTGGGGGCATTGTAAACCAGCGGGTAACCCAGATTCCTTTCTCCTCCCCCAGGCTGGATGCCACTGAGGAGTGATCCGTGCCGCCTCGTCATCCTCCCTACTGACTCATCCTTCTACCAAATAATTAATGAACCAGTAATTTTTAAGTCCTGCCAACAATTGTAAGACAATATGCAAATGCACCATTGCCACTCACCATTAGTGAAACTCGCCGTTTCAGCCAAAGCCCAGCACTCGCCCGCCCAGTAGTGAGACACTCGGAGAACCCCCACCCCTAGAGCTCTGGGCTGGGGGAGGGGAGAGCGTGCTGGGTGAACCTGAGTTCCCAGAACCTTCTCAGCGACTCTGCTGCTCACGGGACATGGGACACCCTGCCCCTACCGGGGGCATCACCCTGTGGCCTTCCAGAGCCCAGCCCCGCCCAGGTTTCCAGGTCTCAGTCCAGAGAGGTGAGGTGAGGTCTCCCAGCCCCCTTGGGGTTCGAGGCACTAGAACTGGGGTGGGGGGTCCCTGTCCCTCGTCTGTTGGGACTTGAAAGCCTGACCTCCGGGAGTCGGCCTTCCCCTCTCCACTCTCTGTCCTGTCTCGTGCTCGGTTTGTGATGGTCCGTGCGGCCGTCCACACATGGTTTTGTGACTCATGTCACTCACTCAGAGCATCTTGTAAATCCTAGGGCTTCCCGGAAGACAGTTGCCAATTTCATGCAAGTATCAGCTGTCACTCCTCGGGTGCAGTTGCAGAGTTCTGCATCTTACAAAACCCGCCTGGCATTTTTTACTGCTGTCCTGAAAGTACTCATAACAATACTTATCCTGCATAATAGGACCTTCAAGTTGCAAGTTAATGGCTCTTCAAGGACAAATCTAAGTTTCTTATTTCTGTAGCACAAGGCAAGTAAATTTCCCTTTTTTAAACTTGAGAGAATAGATTGGGTCCACAGAACTTAACGTGGGGACCATTTCCTGTCCTGGACAGGAGGCCTTGGGCATTCACGGCTCTGCAGCCCTGAGAGCCTCTGGGGCTGGTGAGTGGGCGTCTGGAGGAGGACCCTGAGCCACAGCAGCTGCCCCTCTGAAGGGGATGGAAGACGCAGGGAGACACACCACCGCCCCCCCCACCCCCACCCCCACCCCCTGCCGGACCCCCGCCTGGGGCACTTCAGCCAGATGGAAAGTCTGAAGGAGAGCCCTCGGGGCAGGGGGCCGGTGGTGGTCCGGGCTGCAGGGGCCGCACCCTCCCCGCCGCTCAGTGAGAGTGTAACTCACTCTAGGAACGTGTGATCCACCACTGAGTGAACTTGTCCGTTAGGCTGTCTGCAGTGCGTTACATCTACATCACAGGACGAGGTGGTGAGAATCAATCACTAGGCTAGTTTAGGAAACAGCTGCTTAAACCACTATCAGAATAATCAATCACAAAATAGCTCAGACAGAATTTCAATATGGAATTTTCATCTGGTATATTGTACGTTACACTTTTTTTATATAAAGCAGGTTCTTATTAGTCATCCATTTTATACACATCATTGTACACATGTCAATCCCAATCTCCCAGTTCATCCCCCCACCACCACCACCCCCCACCACCACTTTCCCCCCTTGGTGTCCATACGTTTGTTCCCTACATCTGTGTCTCTATTTCTGCCTTGCAAACCGGTTCATCTGTACCATTTTTCTAGGTTCCACATATATGTGTTAATATACGACATTTGTTTCTCTCTTTCTGACTTACTTCATTCTGAATGACAGTCTCTAGGTCCATCCACGTCTCTACAAATGACCCAATCTTGTTCCTTTTTACGTCTGAGTAATATTCCATCGTATATATATGTACCATGTCTTCTTTATCCATTGATCTGTCGATGGGCATTGAGGTTGCTTCCATGACCTGGCTATAGTAAATAGTGCTGCAATGAACACTGGGGTGCACGTGTCTTTTTGAATTATGGTTTTCTCCGGGTATATGCCCAGGAGTGGGATTGCTGGGTCATATGGTAGTTCTATTTTTAGTTTTTTAAGGAACCTCCATACTGTTCTCCATAGTGGCTGTATCAATTTACATTCCCACCAACAGTGCAAGAGGGTTCCCTTTTCTCCACACTCTCTCCAGCATTGATTGATTGTAGATTTTTTTGATGATGCCCATTCTGACTGGTGTGAGGTGATACCTCACTGAAGTTTTGACTTGCATTTTTCTAATAATTAGTGATGTTGAGCCTCTTGTCCATCTGTATGTCTTCTTTGGAGAAATGTCTATTTAGGTCCTCTGCCCATTTTTTGATTGGGTTGTTTGTTTTTTTTAAGATTGAGTTGCATGAGCTGTTTATATATTTTGGAGATTAATCCTTTGTCCGTTGATTTGTTTGCAAATATTAAACATTCTAATTAAGCAAAATTATTGACTAGTCTACTAGTATATTCTGCTTCAGAATAAACATATTTGGTAAAATTGGCATGAATTGTAATAATGTTCTTAGTTTTCAGATATCCCCTGTTGGAGACAATTCTTTGACCACAAGTTTTCTCCAACTATAAATCCATTTTTTTGCCTTTATCTATTCAAAGGTGGTGTTGGTCAGCTTTCTTTAACTGATTTTCCCTCATTTTAAATTCTCAGCCAAGAAGATTTTTCTCAAGTTTTACTGTCATTTATGGGTTGTTTCTTAAAATAATCTATAGAGTAGATAGGATTTTTTTTCCCAACTATATCCTCCTTCCCCATCTGCTGACCCAAAACAAGCATTTCTGTGAGCATGTTCACGAGACACCAATCCCATAAGGTTTTACACAAAAACTGGCCCCACTGCCGACCCTGCCTAGAAGGGGTTTGTAAGGCACACCGGCATCTTAAAGATCCCAGGCCTACAGAACCTCTGAAGTGCCAGTGTGTGTTGTTTCCCAAACTTCCTTGAGCATGGAGTCCTTTTTCCTCGATACCTCTCAACCTTAGGACACGTGGCGTGACTGTGCTGTGCTCCGTACCTGGTCGTTGTGTTTGGCTGCAGAAGCTGTGTCTTCATGTCACAGATGAGGATGCAGGCTTCTGCTTTCCTGTGGGCGGAGGGCCTGCAGGAGGATCCCTGGCGTGTTGACTCTTCAGAACCAGGGTTTGCACTCTGCGTCCTTTTTTCCTGTTGACCTTGATCAATAAATCCGTCTGTCTGTGGGTGTGTTTATAGCTACTGATGCTGAAGGGACTGATGATGACAGAGGCCAGGCTGCCCGCACTGGGTGGCGGTGTGCGGCCTGGAGCCCAGAAATGGTCACCAGTCCCAGGCCTCAAAAGCATCCTAGAATTTGGATCAGCAGCAGATTCCACCCTGAGGCCACGTGGCCCAACGATCTGGGCTTCGCTGCCCTTGTTTGTATCATTGCTACTGTATGAAAGGTGTTTCTCAAAGTCTGTGATACGTGAAAATGCTGGTGCCACGAGAGGACTGAAGGAAAGGTGACCAGACCGGCCCTGGTTGGGGCCTCACGGCGCCTGGATCTGCGGAGGGTGCGTGGGCAGGACGCAGATGGGGGTCTCCGCGCGGGGTCCGCTGGCCCCCTTTCCAGAGCTTCACAAAGGCTTTGTGTACAGACTTGGGCAGCAGACTCAGCCTAGAAGTATGCACTTCTTAATGTAACGGTGGCATTTGCCATTTTGTTTTGATTTGAAATCTCCAATTTGAAGCCATTTACGTTATTGAATAATGGTAGCAACTCCAGGAGCCTCGTCTTCCGGTCAGTTGAGGTCTTCTAAAGAGCAGTTAACCGCAATTCACACCCGTTATGTCACACGAGGCACCGGCTAAAGGTCTATTTTTGAGGATGTGGGGTGGGCAGACACTCTGCTTCCTTTCTTGCTAGGGCCTGGCAGTCAGGACCCTGATGACAAGCCCCACTACCAGCATGCCCGTCGCTGCCCCCAGAGCAGCCCCTCGGCGGATGGCCAGCTGTTTGGCCGACAGTCTGCCAGGGGGAGCTGGCAGGGGTTGGGCTGCTTCTGGAGTCCCAAAGAGGTCCAGATGGGCCTCGGGCCTTGAGTACATTGTCAGGGTCACGCCAGGGTAGCTGACCGTAGCCACTGCAGAGGCAAACAGGGGCCAGCTTAGCATGGGGGTGGGGTGGGGGGTGGCTTGGAGGTGCATGATCGACGCCTGTCCCTCACAGCAGGAGACGCCCGCCTTTTCTCTACGGCACGACCGGAGGAGAGAACTACGTGGGATGCGCAGGAAAGGCTGTCTAAGGTGAGATGAGATCAGACACACGTGCCTGTCTGGGCCTGTGTGATGCCTAACCTTCACCAGTGACCTCAGGGCACGTTTGAAACGCTTAGTTGAGCTGCCTTTGCATGTTCCCTCGTGACAAGTGAAGCCCATAGAGTCTGCAGCTGGTTCCCCACCGCAGGACGACGCACAGGCACTGGGATAACTGGGGCTTTGGGCCGTGATAACCGGCGCCCGCCCCACGGCAGCAGATCGGCCGCCTGGTGGGGTTCGGGGGGTCGGCGGGAAGCGCCCGCACGCTGCTGAGTCGAGCCAGGCTGACCTGCCCAACCCACGCCTGCAGGTCTCCCACCTGGGTTGGAGGTGAGTGCTGACAACACGCTCTAGGGTCCAACGGCCCGTGCTCCGACCTCGTCCTCTGCCTTTGCAGTTGCGGGATGACAGGGAAGAGACCCAAGCCCTCAACCCACTCCCTCATCTGAATGGAACCGAGGCTCACTGCCCCCCAGGCTGGGGAGGGACAGGGCCTGCTTCCCGGGGCCTCTTAGATAGCGGACGTTAGTGTCACCCTCCTGGCATTAGGACGGAGGTCACTGTCACGCTGAGGGAGAAAGGCAGCTGGGGCTCGCGCGGTTCCCGGTCACCCGCACACGCGGGGCAGCGTTACCTGAAGATACGACCGCTCTCTCAGGCCCGAGTCTGAGGCTGGGGGTCGTGCTCTCAGTGGCCTGGGGCGGCAGCCCCACACGTTTCTGCACCTGAAGGAGACAGAGTTGTCCGGTCGGCCTGCTGTCCACCCCGGCCTCAGCTGTGCCCTGCAGGCCGAGGTCACACACAGGCACTCCTCGGAGGCTCCAGACCACT